AAGTACAGTTTATCATCAGGAACTGGTTGACAAAACACAGCTGACCAGATGAAAAACGATGAAATAGGTTGGAAATCAATCGCAATTTGACTAAAGACATGACTACTCCCTCTGCTGGCAAGGCCCTCATGAGCTTACGGTAAATATTTAAGAAGTGACTAGTTTTCTTTAATTATTTATGAAGCAATAAATAAATAATGCAAACTGTTCCTTTTTCAATCTGTTGCTGGGTGTTTTCACATTTCTGAACTTATTTCAGTGGAAGAATTTTTAAGAATGAAAAACAATGAAACATTCTTATATAGCTTCTTATATTTTAAACCGCACAAAAGGATACATGCTAAGTTTTATAAGATAAACAAAAATTCAAAATTATATGTAAAGTTAAAAGCCAGAAGGCCACAATAGCACATGCAACTCAATTAGGTTTCGAAGCATATTCTCTAAAAATTCATCAGAGTCACAAAGAAAATAGTATATACAAGCCTGGAGGAAGGGAAAACAGATTTCAAACAGATGCTAACAGAAAGATTAATATAAAAGAACACTATATAACTAAACATTATTTGCCTTATAATGCAGGCTGATATGGCCAAATAAAATGATTTAATAAATATCTTTTTCAGGATTTTGAACTCTGCCTAAGCCCCCAAAACAGAAGGGATCAGGTTTTTCACGCACTGTTTTCATCTGAATCCTGGCTGAAAACAGCTATTCCAGCTTCCAGATTTCCAGAAGGCTCCATCTCACGACTCCTTGCTTGCCATTTGGTTTTAATCTCTCAGGACTTTCTTATAGGGGCTCCACTGTGCTGAACTGGCACTTGCTTGAAGAAATGAGTTATTATTAAACTTGTAGGTCAGTTGTGGCACTAACAACTCCTTGGAACCTTTCAGCCAGAGTATACAATTTGATGGTCTAATTAAATATTAATTCTAAGTGTTACATTTTGTGGCTAAGAGCTTCTATTTTCCATCATCCGTCTGGAACAGAACAAGGTTACAAGCTAATTTACCTCTCCCCCACCTTACAAGCTTAACTATATAGGACACAAAAACACTATTAAACATGAAGCATTCTCTTATATTGAATTTCTCATGTAATTAACAGAACTGATCTAAAAAGAGTTAAACAATTAGGTAGTTAGAAAAAAAAAGCAAACAAAAGATTATGTAAAGTTGTAACATTATAACATGTATTTAATTCAAGATTTATCTAATTCCATTTAAAAAACATACCACTTTCTGGTGATTTTCAAAAGTGTATCAATTCATGTTAATTACAAACCCTTGAAAATCCAAAAGTTTTAAAAACCTTTTCAATAATCAAATTTACAGATAGTTAAATCCCTAATAAGTTCTTTTAAAGATTCACACTCTTCCTTTCTTGTTATTGTCCAAATTATCTCAAAACATGTTTTCCTACCTTCTGCCTAATTAATATTAATTTCCATTCCTGAGTTACCTTAGCTTAGCAGCCAAAATATTCCATATGCCCAAACAGCTGAGAATTAACAATAATGTGACAAAATATCTAACAATATAATTAACATTACAATTTTCATCCTTGTTATGCCTTGTACAAACATAACAAATATTCTTACAATTCTCTTATATCTTATTTCAAATTGCATATTTATAATGAATCTAAGAATCTTGCAAGTTGGAACATGCCCAATGATTCATCTATTCAAATCTTTTTCGCTAAAAAAGATACTGCATGTTCTTAGGCAGCTTCCCAACCATTATACTTGAAAGAGGCCTTTAATCCCTGATCCTGTTGTTGGCTAGGAATTTAGAGAAATTTCTCAATATTTAGTCTAATTGTACTATAATTTTGTATAATTAAGTTATTATCTTTTGCAGCCAGAAAAAAATAATTACTTGTCTTTTTTATGATATTTTTTCAAGAATTTGAAAACTATCAAATATATCTTCTCAATCTTTTTTCTTAAGTCACAGCTCACAATTTGCCATTCCTTAGGTTGGTTCTTCTGAGAATTTTAAATTCTCTTTCAATTTTTTTTTAACATTTCTTCTAAAATTGGGAGATCTGAGCTAATTGTACTCTAGAAATATTTTTCTTGTGCAGAGTAGAAAGGACTACTATCACCACTTAGGCCACTGCTAAATAAAGCTCTATTACTTTTTCCAATATTATCAACCCCACCTCTTCAATTAAACAGAAGTCAAATTGTTCCTATATGCATTTCTATATAAGCTTGTGTGCGTGTATTTATTCCACACCAATGTGAGGAGGTGAAAAAGCAAAAATAAAATGCCTTAATTAATGCATTTCCCTTCATTTCCCCCATGAGAATGCTTTCCAAGAGTTAGTGGATATGAGGAACAGTGAGGGATGAAGCATAAAAAATTACCACAGAAAAAAGCAATCATTCAAGCTCAAGAGCAAGGTCTTTTCCAGCATCCCATGTCTCATTTCAACCCATTGCCAAGGCTTTTTCCAACCTCAGGAGAAACTTAGAGAGCTATATTGGAGCTTATTTTTTTTTTAGTATAAATTGGTAATATATTTTCTAATTTCATTTTCTTATGAGACATGTTCAACAAATAAACTACGAATTTTATATGGTCAGTGCAGAACTGAGCAATATAGAACATGATGTAAGATATACATTTCCATTTCCAATACATTATTGTTAAACATCTTGCAAATTGTGGTGAATATCAAGAGCCTGTCACTTATGCATATTTGTGCTTTTCTGCCTCTTCTTTTCTTGACTATACTTTTGTAAGCCACAGAAAAAGCGTCTCCCTAAAACTGAGATGTTTCAATGGGAAGGGGGGATTTCAGAAACAGTTTACATTATCAAAGCTCCACATGTTCTAAGTGCAGTCTCCACAGTTTCTAACTGAAAATTTCCTTAGAGCCCCTAATCCCCAGATGAACATCTTCCATTTATTTAATATCTAGCTCTAGATCCATTGCTGTATATTTTCCTGATTAAGAAAACACATTTGAAGGGTATGTTTGGCAGAGCTTGATATAAGAATAAAGTATTAATCAGTAAACATATGCTACTTTGTTGAAAGAGATGTCATACAATCTAATACAATAACTAACGTAATTTGATCTTTGTACTCTATGTTCCCATGGTCATGATAGTTACTGATTTTCTATCTGGATTTACTTATACTTCGTTTAACTACTTTCGTAAGCTTCCCTTTCTTTAACAGCTAACTTTGATTGTTGATGATTTGGAATATATCTTAAAACAAATCTATCAATCCATATTATACATAGATTTTTCTTTATACTATAAACTACTTAAAATTAGAAATTACTAGTTTAAATTTATAGGAGTAGAAAGTGTGAAGATACTGTATTATGTAAAGAATATACATAAATTATTTTTTAAAAATTGTTTTAGAAATATTGCACTATCTATACTAACAATATTTTGACTGTTAAATGTTAAAAAACACTATGATCCTAAATTTGCTCATTTTATTCTACTTTAATTATTTGACATGACTTGTAAAGAATTTTCGTGAAAGGTAGGCTACCAAATAATAAATCTATTACCTTTACAATACAGTACTGTACAAATAGAAGCATAGATAAAAGAGGGGAGGGAAAGGAAATTGTTTGTCTTTTAGACAAAGATCTTTTTTACATTTCTAATCCACTCACAAATCCCAGCAACAGAGTTGTGAGAAGCTGAGTAGTGAGAATGTGAGCAGCTGCTGTTATTAGAACTAAAAAGTCTGACTAGTGCCTGAGACAGAGAGACCACATGTTCGGCTGTCCTCTCATCTTGCCATCCTCACCAATTAACTATTAACACGGAGGGCTGGACACATGCTCTTGGGGGCTCTTTAACAGGCTTCTTGGAGACTGGAACAACTACACAGCAGGGCTCTGGGAACTGAGTAGTCTGTAATATAGGAAAACCTCAGACGCTTTGCTCCTCCTAATGACAGCTTGCTCTGCAATTTAAACACTCTATTAAGTTATGTCTTAACAGAGAGGAGGTCCTGGAAATTTAACTATTCCTACAAACTCCTTAAGTTTCAGCCCATGGAATGAACACAACTATTAAAACAATTATTATTAAATAATTGTTAAAACAACTATTCCCTATTCTTAGGTCTAGAAATAGAAAGACAACACATGGGATTACAAAGCCAAATCATCAACATAGTGGAAAACATTTCAGAAACTTAAAACAAAATCAGAATCAAGGTATCATCTTTTGACAGAGGGGACTGGTTTCAGAAACATAAAATTTGACTGTTCATTAAATTGGTAGATTCCCAAGTATTTTTATTGCTCTCTTTAGAAAACAATAGTCTTTTGTGTCTTTTATTTGATAAAAAATAAGTCCTGGTAAATAAATTATTAAAGGCACATCACAAATGTAGCACCAACTTCCATTTTCCCTATTTCCTTATCCTGGACCATCCCATGCAGCTGATCCAATATCATTCCTTAGAATGCCTTTGCTTTCTGCAGTGGTCATTTGAAGAAAGCAGAAAGTTCCATTGCAGGATGGAATTACCCTAATAATTCTGTTTATTGAATTCATTAGGAATCATTCTGTTTATTGAATGATTAGGAAGAAGGAATCATTATGAAGAGAATGTTACAAAAAAAACACACCACTTTAATTTGGCTATATGAAATAAAAAGGAAATTGAAAATTATCTGTTAGTAAAGGAAAAAGGCCACAAGAAGGTGGGGCAGAGGTTCTCAACCTTTTCTTCACCACGGATCCCCTTTAAATACCTTTTGTGGCCACTGACCATGGCCACGGATGCCCAAGATGTAACTCAAGATTTAAATCATAACATTTCTTCAAGACTTGGTGGACCTCTTATGATGACATCATAGCCCCCTTCCAGCGGTCTACAGACCACAAGCTGAGAATCACTGAAGTAGGATATTGAGTCATATTCCTCTAGCATGTTCTGATTACTAATAATCCGCTGACCCTGTGTATCTAACATGATTGATTATAGTAACTGGATTAAACCTACCTGGATCAGATGAGTTGGAACAGTGATGATGCAGACAGATAATGATGTTCTCAGGAGGCCACGTAGAGCATACATAAATCTGGTGAGGCTGTGCAGATTTTCTGGATTTTCAGTACAACAGATATCATCACCCCATAATACTGAACCAAGGCTCTGAATTCCTATTCTCAACACATTCCTTTGTTTTTTCTATCAAATATGAAAAAAACAAAAAGGATTTTAGTGGAAACTGAAACTTCAAGAAGAAAAAACTAACTTTGGGGCAATTTGTTATTTTATATGCAATGAAGAGAAAGTAAGTTCTGAGTTAAGAAATTATAAAAGCAAAACAAACAAACAAATAAAAACCCACAGGTGCCTTTCTAGCTGGCCAATTTAAGCATTCCAATAGTATCTAAATAAAAACAGTTTTGAGATAAAAACAGTTGGAATGTTTTTGGGGATACAGATACGTATTACAAGTGTCTGGTGTAATATACATATTATACTACTGTTTCATAAAAATGTGAATAACTGTGCTTGAAGTGACTATAAATAATTCTGTCAATACATTGATTTAATAAAAAAAGTAAATCATGGTACTGAAGATTATGTTGTAATTTGTTTCAGTTAAAAGAAAAAAAAACACAAGAAATTGCTTCTGGAAGTTAATCAATCCAACATTTAGTTATGGATGAGAAGACCTCCAAGATCCCTTGCTATTCTGTTAGTTTCTAATTAAATTATCAATTATTTATTCATTTAATTATATTTGGTTTTGATTATACTGACACACCTACCCACACACCGGTAGCGGGCTCCTGCTGGCGATGCCGCTAGCATGAGGTGAGTCAGGTGGAAGACATACGCCGAAAATGAGACCTAGTGCCTTTTTTGGTGGCAAAAAAAATATATATAAGACTGGGTCTTATTTTCGGGGAAACAGGGTATCTTATATAATGATATTTGATTTTATTACTCAAGATAGACAACCATATAAATCTAAATAAATGAACATCTATAAATAAATATTACCTATTTTGTTTTTGTCTAGGCTGCCTATTTCTGTGGGTTTTAACTGTTTTAAATTTAATTTATTAAATTTATTATTTAATTATTAATTATTTATTAATTCTATTTGTATGCAGCCCTGAGTCTTCAGAGAGGGGCGGCATACAAATTGAATTAATAAATAATAAATAATAATAATGTCTTTGGATTTTGTAAGCCACCTAAAGACCCCTGAAGTGCATATCATATTACATTAATAAATTAAAATTAATTGAGTCTTTGAACTAGTTAAATATAATTTATAGTCCAAACAGTTATACTAGTTTTCTAGTTTAACTGGTAAAGGAAAAAAGGGAAGTACGACAAATGATTTTTTTAAAAAATAAACATTTTTGATGTTTACCACATGGTGTATAACATAATACCACATGGTGTATAACATAATTTTAATAATTAAAATATCTGTCAGAAATATAAAGTATTTTTTTTTTAAAAAAGGCAATTAACTAAAGTAATTAAATTATCTACTGATAGGACTCATCTGCTAAAAGGATCATTACCAGAGGTGAAATCCAGCAGGTTCTGACAAGTTCTAGAGAACCGGTAGCAGAAATTTTGAGCAGTTTGGAGAACCGGTAGTGGAAATTTTGAGTAGTTCGGAGAACCGGCAAATGCCACCTCTGGCTGGCCCAGAATGGGGTGGGAAAAAAGATTTTGCAATATCCTTCCCCCAGGAGTGGAGAGGGAATAGGGATTTTGTAGTATCCTTCCCCTCGCCCACCAAGCCATACTACGCCCACCAAGCTATGTCCACAGAACCGATAGTAAAAAAAATTGGATTTCACCACTGATCATTACCTTCAGAAACCAGCTTGCTCCTGATCAGATTTTACCTACTATAGATTTCATAATGCTAAAATAGGTTTGATGTCGAATATACAGATCATGATTTTAACCTTACTTTTTTGACAGTATTACTGTATTGAGCACACTTCATAGAAAGACATGATACAAAGTTAATAAATAAAATAAATTTAGTAGAAGAAAATATATTCCTTATTCCCTCCCAATTTTCATTTATACATTCATTCATACATACGGAGGGAGGAAGTTTATGCATAAATAAAATATTCCTTTTTTATTTCAATATTTTATATTGATTGTGAATCGCTAAAGGAGAACTGTTACAGTATCCACAAAAGTGAGGTATAAATGTAATAAGCAAAAAATAATACATTACAAATCTCTCTACAGGTGATATTTTCTGAAGTTGATCTTCAATCAAACATGGATAAACTTGAAAATATATTGCTGCTAGTGCGCTTTAACAGAGTTTACATGGGACAAAATGTCCAGTCACAAGAAATGTGAAAGTTCTTTAATTCATGTGAATTGATCTTGTCCGTTATAGCACTGTTTTGATTTCAAGTAAATACATATGGAAGAAATGTAGTTAAGGATTTCAGTGTAATGTTGAATTATATTCCTAAAACATGGAATTTTTCATCTCACCATAACTGTAGAGGCTGGGGTATGTCAAAGAAGATAATCCTATACAAATGGAAAGAAACTCCCTCCCCTGAATTTAAGGAACGGAACCAGGCTGAGTATGTTTTCTATTTTTTAAGTTTTTTTCTTCTAAGATTCAGATGACACAGTACAAGGTTTAGATAAAGCTTAAATGAATTAACTGAAGTATAAATATTTATATATCTAAATAAATGTGGGGAGGGGAGGTTGGTTATGTTTAATTCATTTAATCAATAGTATATTTTTTTCTCTGTACAGAATAATCACTATTGGACACAGATCCTTTTCTTTTGTATTTCACTATTTTAGTAAACTAGATTTCAAAAAAACACTGCTTAATTATTAGCTTGGAGCTTGCCTACCACTTAAGTATGGCGTAACAACACTCAGGCATCTCACTTTGCCTCAAGTCCAAGGTATGATTGGTGTAGCATAGAAACAGCCTGAGGACCTCTATTTTTGTAACTTTTTTGGTTGTCTCAACATCCTTAAACCAAGAGGAGACTACAATGGCTACATATTGGCCCCAAGCCTGTTTCCTTTTTAAATTTCAGGAAGGCTTTTAGTCATAAGTGACCCCCTTCTCACTGTATTCTTTTAACTGGTTAGTACTCTGACTATATTTTATTTTGTTTTGAATCTGCTGTTTTGCTGCTATTTGTAATATTTTCCTGTTCTTTTACAACAGGGCTGTCAAACTCACGGTCCGCAGGCTGGATGCATCACGTGCTGGCTACGCCCGTACCTGGTTTGGCAAAGGGGAAAAAGTCGTGATACGTCATGTAACGAAGCCATGATGAGGCAAGTTTGACACCCCTGTTTTACAATATCATCATTTAGTTCTTAGCTGTCCTTAAACACTATTAAGTTTGATATAATGAATACTATTTTCTCTTTTCTTAAAAAAATCATACAATGGCTTGCTCTTCTTACCTAAAAGTGGTTTCATCCACTTGTAATATCTAATAAAAATAATGAGAGACCATACTTAAATACTGTTTTAATCTCTTTCACAGTATCAAGGGAAAACAAACAAACCTACCTCTTTTCCAGAAACATCTTATTTGCTATGTGCTGTCAGGATTTTCCTGTCGCTTTGGTGCAGTTGCTTCTAATATTCTATGAATTTCTGCCTCCAAAGGACCTGTCATCATGTTTGGAGGAACAGCTCAACATACTGTACTAGGAGAACTGTTATGACATGCCTATTGCTATGGCAACCAAAGCAGAGGTGCCTATCAGGTACCAATTTACTTATCCAAAAGGGCACTGCTACTTCTAAAGGAAAAACCTGCTTACCCGTAAAGCTATGTATAAGATGAGAATTAAATTAAACAGGAAAATTCTGCTTGACAAATACAAAAAAAAAAAAAAACAGAGAAAGAATGTAGAATTGTAAGGAGAAATTGATCAGAGGTTCAACTGCTAGAGTTTTACATTATCATATTTCTAAGAGAATGAGATAGTAAAGTTAACCCTTTATGCACTAAACATTTATATTTTTTCCAAACAACAAATATACAGTATATAAATGAAAAATGTAAGTATCATTAATGAAGTCTCTCATAAGTTGTCATCGAAAAACAATTATGAAACTGTTTTCAGTGCTTGGAATCAAACACATTTGTTGCTGAATCATCCATCCATACATTATAAAAATGTGAATCTTATATGCTTGTAAATATCTGAAAACTGAAAATACCTGAAAAGTGTATCCTTGTTGACAAATGACTCTTTGAATAGAATGGAGCAATCTGGTGTAAGCACATGCCTTTTTACTAAAGAGAGCCAGAATATTTTATTTAATATATTTTTATATTAGCTGAAACATTCAAACATTCAATTTTACAAATGTAAGAGATAAGAAGTAAATGTCTTTAAACAAGTTAATTAACAAAGACTCAATGTGGCAGCATTTTAAATTCCTGTAAGCTGCCTTGAGTTGTCATGTGTGAATAGGCGGCAATATGAATTTCTTAAAATAAAATAATAACTATAATACAACTATTCTGGTTGTTCCTGCATTTCCAGAACTTTAGTTCACCAATGAGCCACAGAGAGGTACTTCAATAAACCAAGTGAATCCTTGTCATTATTAACCTGAATAGGCCTATCTAAATCTACTAGACCTAGAAGACACATGAATATCCCATAATCCATGTGTCTACCCCAGTCTCATTTCTGCAATTCCCACAGCACTTCCAAATTTCAGTGAAGTTATCACAGTAACCCCTAGAGGATTACACATTGTGTATTAGCTGTGTTTGTGGAAGTGCTATTTCTTTCAGACATAAAGGTGGGAACTCTCTAGATCTGAAGGGAGTTTTGAAACTCACAGGGTTGAATTAATAGCTCCTTTTCCACAAGCAGATCTCTTCAGCCTTTATTTTATTATTCTGGCTCCAACTGCTGTTGTTATAGAACCAGGTAGCTAAAAAATCAGATGGAGGCAACTTGATTTTTTAATGGCTAAGATTGCTAAGAGGAAAAAAAGCCATAAATGACACACTTTATTAATTAATTAAATTTATATGCCTTATCTCCCTGATGTGGTGACTCTGGATGGTTTACAGATCAGACTGTAAATCATGTTCGCCATGAATGTTTTTTCCTCACATCTCAATAGTTGTAATTCCATTAATTCAAAGCATTCATCCCCACAAAAATGCAGTATTTGATGTAGCTTGGGGAAAGCAAATTCTTCACCAGAACTATAACTCTTTCCTTCAGAACAAGTGTCTCTGCTATAATCAGCCTTTCTTTTCCTCCACATAATGCCTATTCCTTCCTTCTTTTCCATATATCATACTTATATACTGATACTGGATGGAAGAATATAACATTAAAGTATTTCTAACAATTGGATTCTGTGTATAATATCTTAATAGGGTTTTTCTCATTTTTAATTTGTTGTCTAACAGTGAGTCAACTCTTTAAAGTAGGCTATAGCAAATATTACAGTTGGCTAGTAAGGAGAATTAACTATATTAGTATTTTGTGGGCACAGAAAGAAAATTCTAGTGAGATCCAAAAGTATCTATCAATAAATTAACAAGACTGAATTATTTTCAAACCCTGGTGTTTTGCGATTAAGAGGTGTAGTCAACATACAGTGAAAATACTGGCAAACTGTGAAGTGTTTTACTTGTGTTCTTGGCCAGTCAACATATTTTAATAATTAGCCTTCTTTTCTGCCCAAGAATTGTGAACTCACCATGACTTTTCATCAATATCCAAGCCTCCTTCTTCAGGAATGAAAAAACCATCCCATTTAATATTTTGGATTAGTTCTGGAGCTATTGTTTTAGTTAAATCAAAGTAGTGTCCAAATTTTGAAAAGGGTATGTGGGTTACCTGTGAAAACATACAATGAATGTTATTCTCTGAATAGCATATAATATACAAATTGTCAATGATTTTAAAGGCCAAAGTGTCTAGTGACATCTAATTGTTAGGGTTCATCATGAATCCCGGTAATCAAAGCTATCGACAGGTAGTCCTCGACTTACAACAGTTCATTTAATGACCATTCAAAGTTACAACGGCACTGAAAAAGGTGACTTATGGCCATTTTTCAAAGTTACAACCTTGGCAGAATCCCAATGATCATGTGATCAAAATTCAGATGCTTGGCAACTGGTTCATACTTATGATTGTTGCTGTGTCCCAAGGTCATGCAATCACCTTTTGCGACCTTCTGACAAGCAAAGTCAATGGGAAAGCTAGATTCACTTAACAACTGGGTTACTAATTTATCAACTGTAGTGATTCACTTAACCACTTGGGCAATAAAGGTCATAAAATCAGGCAAAACTCACTTAACAAATGTGTCACTTAATAACAGAAATTTTTGGTTCAATTGAGGTGATAAATTGAGGACTACCTATACTACTGAAATCTGATGCTGAACCTGTTTCCTTCAAGATTTTTCAGACCTAAGACATTTCAAAACTCTTGAAGAGACTTATAAGTATGTAATATTTGTTACTGACAGTGATGATCTAATACAGTATTGTAGCTTATTATAGCCACCTTAATGTACTTTTCTGTGATGAGATGCTGACATGAATCTCAGCTACATGACTTGAAGTCAAATCTGCCTTTTTTTATAAACCCACACAAACAAAAAGGTTGAGAAGAAAAAGAATTGTGCACATACAGCCATATATAAAAAAGAAAGTACACCCTCTGAGTTCTCTGATTTTACATATCAGGGCATAGTAAAAATCATCTGGTCCTTAGCAGTTCTTAAAAGTAGGTAAATACAACCTCAGATGAACAACAACACATGACATATTACACATCATTTATTTTACAAACAGGAGAACAGCCAAAATGGAAAAGCCATGTGTAAAAAACTAAGTACATCTTACGATTCAATAACTTATAGAACCGTCTTTAGCAGCAAAAACTTGAAGTAATCATTTTATGTATGACTTTATCAGTCTCTCGCATTGCTATGGAAAATTTTGCCCCACTCTTCATTACAATATTGCTTCAGTTCATTCAGGTTTGTTGGCATTTGTTTATGCACAGCTCTCTTGAAGGTCCCACTACAGCATTTCAATTGGATTGAGGTCTGGACTTTGACTAGACCATTTCAACCTTGATTCTTTTCTTTTTCAGCCATTCTATTGTAGATTTGCTGATGTGCTTGGGATTATTGTTCTGTTGCCTGGCCCAATGTCAGCCAAGGTTTAGCTGTTGATCAGATAGCTTCACATTTGACTATAGAATACTTTGGTATATAGAGGAGTTCATGGTTGACCCAATGACTGCAATGTATCCAGGTTGTGCGCCTGCAAAACAAGCCCAAATCACCACCCCTCCACCACCGGGCTTGACAGTTGGTATGAGATGTTTGTTCTATGCTGTGTTTGATTTTCGTGCATTATGCATTGTGCATAATGCATGAAACATTTCCATTTTGGTCTCGTCTCATCTGTCCAAAGGACAGTATTCCAGAAGTGTTGTCATTTCTTCAGATGCAACTTTGCAAATCTAATATGTGCTGCCATGTTCTTTTTAGAGGATTTCTCCTGGCCACCCTTCCAAACAAACCATACTTGTTCAGTCTTTTTCTAACTGTACTGTCGTGAACTTTAACATTTAGCATGCTAACTGAGGTCTGAGTCTGAGATGTAACTCTTGGAATTTTTGCAGTTTCTCTGAGCATTGCATGTTCTGACCTTGGGGTGAATTTGCTGGGATATCCACTCCTTTCTTTAATGTTTTCCACTTGAGAATAATCTTCCTCACTGTAAAATGATGGACTTTAAATTGTTTGGAAATAGCCTTATAACACTTCCCAAATTGATGGGCAGCAACAATTGCTGCTCTAAGATCATTGTTGATGTCTTTCCTCTTTGGCATTATGTTAACACAGATCCCAATGCTGGAGACCAGCAAACTTCTAAAACTTTGGCTTTTATAGAGGTAGTCACACTTGCTGATGATAAATTGATCAAGGGCACTTGATTAGCAGAAGCTGGCTGCTACTTAGACTCTTCTTACTTATGGAAGCTATAAGGGTGTGCTCAGTTTTTCACACATGGCTTCCCCATTTTGGCTTTCTTTTTGTACAATAAATGATGAAATGATGTCATGTGTTGTTCATCTGAGGTTGTATTTACCTAGTTTTAAGAACTGCTAAGGACCAGATGATTTTTACTATGCCCTGATACGTAAAATCAGAGAACTCAAAGAGGGTGTACTTTCTTTTTTTATATGACTGTATGTGCAGTCATAGCACACACATATATATATATAGACTGATATAGTCTATTACTGTAGGATAACATTATAAATATATATCTGTAAATATATTGCAAAGATCATATCAACCCTACTTCAGTGGACATATAGTTTACTCTTCTCAACACACATGCACTTTGCTGTCAGTTTGACAGAATCAATCACCCATTTAAAAGAGCCAGTGCTTCAATAAAACAGTTATAAAATTAGGCCAGAATCAGAGGTGGGTTTCAGCAGGTTCTGACCAGTTCTGGAGAACTGGTAGCAGAAATTTCGAGTAGTTCGGAAAACCGGTAAATACCACCTCTGACTGACCCCGCCCCCATCTATTCTCTGCCTTCCGAGTCTTAGTTGATGGGGAGGAAATGGAGATATTGCAGTAACCTTCCCCTGGATTGGGAAGGGAATGGAGATTTTACAGCATCCTTTCCCTGGAGTGGGGTGGGAATGGAGATTTTACAGTATCCTTCTCCTGCCATGCCCACCAAGCCATGCCATGCCCACCAAGCCACACCCACAGAACCGGTAGTAAAATTTTTTGAAACCCACCACTGGCCAGAATCCATACTCTCAAATACGCAATTGCTGTTGATAATATTTGCTGTTGATAATATTTAAAACAGCTGTTTGTTACTAAAATGATTCTTAATCACATCTTGATATTTATATATACACAATTTTGAGTATTGGACATATTTTTATAGGCTTCATCTTATGTTATCTGAACAAACTTTTCTTTGCACAATGGGATTTTCCCGTTCTCCTTCACCTGCATCTGATCTGGAGCAAAAAACAAAAAAATAAAAAAAAAGATGTGGCTTGCCTGGCTTGCTGTAGAAAGAAAGAATTGATACTGTTAAATGCTGCCTTATCTAGAGATGTTATTTAAAGCATTGAGCTGATGATGTTACGTAGTGTGGTAATGACATGTCTGCAAAAAAACCCATCTAGCTCAGAGAGAACCAAGGATTCCACATTTAAAACATTACATTGCTCTTCAGCCAAAATGTCTCTGTAATGACCTACAGCTAGATAGTTTTCACACATTTGAAAGACTTAATCTAAAAGAAATGGAATAAAAACGAAACAAGGTTGGGAAGGAACAGGAAAGCAAACAAATTCAGAAATAAATTCTTAAAATAGTAGTATTTACAATAAATAAAAAAGAAAATTGTTTGAGGAAACTAGTCTTTCAGAGAAATTGAAGGAAAAGGCTCCCCTTCCGACACAATCTATTGGAATATAACACCTTGATTATTCTCAGTATAATAGGGGATATGTATATTCATAACAGGATTAAGACTGTACTTTTCCTTTGTAATGTATTGTATTTTAATGTGTAAAATGAATTGCAAAACAGTACATGTTATGACCCATATTCAGATTTCTTTTTAAAAAATTAATGAGATATCCCATTGAAGAGATATATTAATGAAATTTCTAAGGAATCTCCACCACGCATCTTGTATTCTTATACTAATATTTTTCAAATAAATGGGAACAATGATGGTTATTACCTTACACATAACCTGAAACAAGTTTCAGTTAATTAATTAGCGGTTACTTCATATGATTATAATTTTTTTAAAGGTTGATATTGTACAGAATGATAATAAACAGTTATAGTAGCTTTCTCTTTAAATTAAAGGGGTTTGGAGTGGGGGAAGGGAAAGAGTACACTGTTTGACATAGTTTAGTATTTACAATATTGCCAGTTTGGCATATGTCTTTTAATTCCTCCAACCTATTGTGTGTGGGGAGGGTTATTCATATATAAAGAACACCAAATATTTCTAAAATATTTAATTTTAGAAATCCTTTTGTGTTAAATACTTATATTTGTTATGGATTTTAAAAAGTAGCAAATCAAAATTGAAAATTGTATTTTTTAAAACAAAATGACTGAAGAAGCTAATTATTGCTTACTTAAAAGAATATAAAACTTAATATTTTTAAAAGACAAATATAATAGTAAAATGGTTTTTAAACTTACTATTCGTATTTTAAGACAGAGTATTAGATATTAAAAATTACTTGAATACCATGGTAGATGTTTTCTGATTTTTAACTATTAAAATAAATACGGTCAGATGATAGACCAATTCTAAATACTAAGCAAACTAAAACCAAATATGTGCCTTGTGAAAAATAAATCACAAGTTCCAATTTATTTAGTTTTCGACTTCTCAAAGCAATTTAAACAAGGGCTGTTCTTTGCCCTATAATCTATTCTTTATCCGGATTACTGATAGAATGTTTTTACTGCAATCTCTGCCAGAGCTCATCTTTTTATTGTGTAAGCCCAAACCCCCTTAATGTTTTAGAAAGGCCTTGACTAACTGAACTTTGATCTGATGTCTTCATTGAGAAAAGCTCCAGGTTGCCCATTTCAGATGCAAATCCTTACTGAGGCCCAAGAGAATTCAGTAAGAACAGCAAAAAAGAAGAAACAAGAATTTTCCAGGATCCTCTTTGAGAATCCTGGGGAACACTGGTGTCCCTAATCCATACAATTGCATGGATTAAGGTAGGTGATAACCTTTCTTGATTTTAAAGAATGAGCACAGTGCCTACAACTGCTTGGAGATCTAGGATTTGGC